AAAAAAAAAAAAAATTATCATAATCGACTAAGATTGTATAAATTTAAAGATTAATATGTAGGTTAAATAGTTTATATTTATAGCGTCATTATAGTAATGATAAAATTTATAACTATGATATGCTAATTATCCAATTTATAATTTTTAAATTTTACACAAAACATATATATAATGTATTATATATAAAATTTTATTTGCATTTGTGTATGTCCACAGAGTAGAATACTTGTATTATCTCACTAGTACAACGCCCGTGTATTACACGGGTGTGTGCTAATTTTTTTCTTAAAATATAAAATTAATGAGAAAAATAGTTAAAAATCTAAATACCTTTTATAAATATATATATATTATTATATAGTTAGTATGACACTTTTTATGTGAGGATACATTAGTCACTTAGTGTCTCACTATGTAAAATACATTAGTGTCTCACTATGTAAAATACATTAGTACAATTGATATTAAAATACCTAATTTAGCTAAATAAGTGAGGATACATTAGTCACTTAGTGTCTCACTATGTAAAATACAAAGAATTAAAGGGTTATATTAGTACAATTGATATTAAAATACCTAATTTAGCTAAATAATATTTATGGAATGTCCAAACCTAAATTATTATTTATTAATATATCAATATTATTTGTCCAAACCTAATTACGAAGCATGATTATTCGTCAAGTAGGATTACGAAGCACCAGAAGCAGACACGTAGGCTCAGCGCATTCTGAAATTATATATAGGGAGGATTGCGACTAATATTTAATTTTAGGAAAAGATTACAAATACGGAACCATTCAATTTTATGTATTTATTTATTTTTGGTATTTATTCAAATCAGTATGAAAAAAGAAAACTTCTACTGTGAACATCAACAATCTACGCAGGCCGCTCTTCCGCCGTTACTCTCTCGGCCGGCCGCCGTAATTGACATCAAATTAACTTCACGCTGATCTAGGATTCTTCTGAAAAACTCTACCGTTGGCGAATCTTGACCCGAATGGCTGCTGCCTCACCAAACCCATGCACTCCGATTCAGAACCGCCACCGGCGGCGCAGTGCAATACTCTCCCCCAGCTCAATTCCGAGAACGAAAATAAGTTTCTGCGTCACCCGACCCGTGAAGTTCTCGTCTCTCAAGACTTACCATCGCCGCGGAAAGAAAATCTGCGTTTTGGGGGAAACGGAGGCCGCCGGGATCGAAGCCAGCAGTTGTTCTGTCAAGGATGAGCTCTTCGTGCAGTTCTTTCGAGAAGCGTGGCCTTATTTTCTGGCTCACAGGGGCAGCACTTTCGTTGTCTTAGTGTCAGCTGAGATTATCGATAGTCCGCATTTGGATCCCTTAGTGATGGCATGTTTGCTTATTGATTTGTTTTTGTGTTTGTTTTACATTTCTAGCAGGAATTAGTGATTGTAATAGTGTTGATCTAATTGACGGTAGCTTGTGTTGTAGGATATTTCTCTGCTTCATGGGTTGGGAGTTAAATTTGTTCTTGTGCCGGGAACACATATCCAAATCGACAGGCTTTTGGTAGAAAGAGGTGTGTAATTTTTCTCAAATTCTTGTTTTAAACTGGTTTCAGTCTGAATCTGGTCTAATTCTGTGATGGCTATATGTGAGTTTGGGAACATTCTGTTTTGCTGGTTGTGATTTGTCATCTTTCCAATATGTTACATCTCAGGATCCGAAGCCAAGTATGTTGGTAGCTACAGAATCACAGACGCTGACTCCCTTACTGCTTCAATGGATGCATCCGGAAGGATCCGGAGCATGATAGAGGCGAAGCTGTCCCCAGGCCCCTCATTGAGTGGCATCCGTCGTCATGGAGAAAACGAACGTTGGCATGATGGTGTTAGTGTTGCCAGTGGTAATTTCCTGGCTGCCAAGGTTAGAACTTAGAATGGTCGTTCACTGTATTTTGCAGATTGCAAATGGAGTTTTATTATGTGGTGGCACTTATGTTTGCCTTTTGTTTTTTTGGTGGGCAGAGAAGAGGGGTAGTTGAGGGAATCGATTATGCATCGACTGGAGAAGTCAAGAAAATTGATGTTTCTTGCATTCGTGAGAGGCTCGATCAAGGTTCCATTGTGCTTTTAAGCAATCTAGGATATTCCAGTTCTGGAGAAGTCCTAAATTGCAAGTATGCTATATAGCCTTCTTGATAGGGATTTTTAGCTATATATAAATATATATATATAAATATAATCTATTTTATTCTGTAATTTTTAGCTCTAGAGGAAATTAGATTATAATTCAATTCCCACATTGGATTAGGTTTTCCAAGATATGATTTTACTTTTACTTTAATTTTTTTCTTCTTAATAGCTCCAGGTACAATGAGATGAACCTAATTCATCTTTCAACTGCAGTACCTATGAAGTTGCTACAGCGTGTGCAATGGCCCTTGGAGCAGAGAAACTCATCTGCATCATAGATGGCCCGATTCTAGATGAATGCGGGCGGCTTATCCGTTTTCTGACTCTTCAAGATGCGGACATGTTAATTCGTAAACGAGCTATGCAGAGTGAGACTGCAGCAAATTATGTAAAAGCTGTAACTCAAGATCTTACTTGTCTTGCGCATGACGATTCAAATGACTCATTCCCTTACGCAAATGGGAAGGTTTTTAGCCGGACTCCCAAATTCCAAAATGGTGTCGGCTTTGATAATGGGAATGGATTTTGGTCCGCCGCAGAACAAGGTTTTGCTATTGGAGGTCAGGAAAGGCTGAGCAGGTTAAATGGTTACTTATCCGAATTAGCCGCTGCAGCTTTTGTTTGCAGAGTAAGTTTCCACTTTCGTAATAATCAGTAATAAAGCATTTGGTTATACCGCTAATTACGATATCTTGATAGTTGTTTGTCGCTAGTTTGTTTGTGTTTATTTATGTCAAAAGCTGTTGGTGAGTGGTTCCTGCTTTTATACTTTTTTACTTTGAATGTCGCCGTATTGTAATCAAACTGCTCTTCTGGGGCACTTTGTGAGATCAGTTCTTTACAATCTTCTAGTCCTGATGCACTCCTCCCCTCTTGAAACCGAACACAGAAAAGCAGCATTATTGGCTCGAGATTTTTGAAGTGTACAATCTTTCTGATACATGTATTTGGTTATGTTGTTTGTTACCAGGGTGGTGTCCAGAGAGTTCATTTATTGGACGGCACTATAGGCGGAGTCTTGCTTAAGGAATTGTTTCAGAGAGATGGAGTTGGTACAATGGTGGCTAGGTCTGTACCTCTACCTCCTTATCAAATATCCCCCTCAAAGGCATTGATTCAACTATACTTCCTCAAAATAGAACGCAAGTTTATTCTTTTTTTCAATCGATTTTTCGCAGCGATCTTTATGAAGGAATGCGCACGGCCACGATATCAGATCTCCATGGAATTCAGCAACTTTTGCTACCATTAGAGGAATCCGGCACTTTAATAAAGAGGACTGATGAAGAGGTCGTCTTATAAATTTGATCCATCATGTTATTTTGACATGTATCACGTATAATCCCCCGTCCCCCTTTTTGATAAATCATTTCCGGCAGTGCAGCTACTTGAAGCATTGGGTTCTTTCATAGTTGCCGAAAGAGAAGGTCAGGTCATTGCTTGTGCGGCTCTTTTTCCTTTCTTCAAAGAGAAATGCGGAGAGGTGGCTGCTATAGCCGTTTCCCCAGAATGCCGTGGTCAAGGACAGGGAGACAAATTACTTGGTATGGCTCTCTCTCTCTCTCTCTCTCTCTCTCTCTCTCTCTCTCTCTCTCTCTCTCTCTCTCTCTCTCTCTGTGTGTGTGTGTGTGTGTGTGTGTGTGTGTGTGAGAACCATAAATTGATTCAAGGTTCCATTTAGCTATGCAAAAAAGTCAGGCAAGTATTTCCATTTTGATATTTATATGTAATAAAGAAAAAATAGTAGATATATTTCATAGTGCAATGTATGCTGAGTAATGTACCTATTATTTTGTGTAGAGCTCATTCTGATGCATAGATAGATTGATGATATTTTTTGTTGCAGACTATATTGAGAAGAAGGCATCTTCGCTTGGACTGCAAAAGCTTTTCTTACTGACAACACGAACAGCAGACTGGTCTGTCATTTTAATCCCTATCATTATATCTCGTGGAGCATTCATTGTATTGCTGATCAAACATGGTCATGGAGTTCGCCTGGAAATTTTTTCACTTTTCAATCCATCATATATGCATCCGATGTTTCTTTTTTTTCTTGTGTATTTATATTTTCCCCGCGAAATTCTTCTTTTGTTGTTATTATGTTTTACTTCCTCAAAATGTATGCTCGTTGCATACTTGTTATGTTGTAATTTGTTCTTGTTTCTGAAAGTTTAATGCCTTCATTTTTGCAGGTTTGTGAGGCGTGGCTTCTCAGAATGTTCGATTGAGTATTTACCAGAAGAGAGGAGAAAAAAGATTAACATATCCCGTAGATCCAAGTATTACATTAAGAGACTTTTACCTGATACAAGCGGGATTCGACTGAACACGGCTCATGTGTACTAAACATATAATACTAGCCGTTTGCACGTTGTAACACGTGTTGTCAGGATAGAGTGTTGCTGTGCAATAAATCAAATTTTTATCGTTGTAAAACATGAAGGGCTTAAGGTCCTAAATTTTCACTTTTGTTGCCCAATAAACTAATTCTTGCCATGAGATTTTAACACATACTTATGTTTAATCTGATCTGTCTTTGGAAAATGTAAGATTTACGCTACAACCACCCAAATACATTGATTTAGCAAGAAAAAAAAATAAAAAAAATCGACTATCTAGCTCTGATGCATTTGATTTTGACTTATCTGTGCTTAAAAATACCAGGAATATGACAAAAGCAAGGTACAACAGCTGCTAGGTCTTAGGACATTGGACCATGTCAAAACAAAAACAAACACAAATGTGTATCTAATTTATTGATTCAAAGAGCTTAACATAAACACTCTCCAATGGAGGAAAATTACAAGATAACTGAAATTGATTTGAGACCGGAAGTTGTTCCACCTCGTATTGGCCTTGTCCAGAGAGGCCTGCAGGAAAAGCATTAGGAATATGAATATTAATTTTCCTGTGGCTTGGGAGGCCCCTTCCATTTGAAGTTGTCTGCGTATGACTTCACCTGCAAGCCAAGCAAGCAAGTATATGATGAGCAAACTCAATTCTTTCCTCATCTATTTTTCCTCAAGAAGTCGGTTTCCTTTCACTTAATACAAATGAAAAAATATTTAACTCTAGGATGTACCTAAGAAATCAACACAGGGAATCTCTTACATAGCATCAACAGGAACAGAATTTCACTAAGAGCAAAATAAAAAGCAATTGAACTTCTACGTGGAACTCCAAACAAACAAATTTCATGCAAAAAGATGGTCTCTGTAAATACTTCATAGGAGACTGGAAGTAATCTTTTACCTTTGGGTTTGGGAAGCATATTGACAAAAGCACATCGAAACTGTCAAGAGGCAGAACATAACAAGCACTTTCACCTTTGAAATTGTTATGAGTGAGTGAATGTGAATATTACTTTCAGTGGAATCTTTTGACTACATAACACATTAGGAGTGATAACAGATCTTTCACCTAGGTCAGAAATATACAATAATGAAATCAACAGCACGCACCAAGTCCTAAAAAGTAAGTTGAAACGCTTAATGTGGCGGCTGAGTGTGAGTTATTTTCATTTTTTTCTAGGTTGGGGAAGCAAGTAAAATATTGAGCATTAGCATAAGGTGGAAAAGGGTTGACAACTTTCAATACATTTCTCTAGAGTGACTTGGAAAAGAGAAATTAAGAGTAATCAGTTAAACTATCCATGCTAACAACTAGAAGGTCATTGAATTAATCAAACAAAAATAACCAACCTTCAATAATGGAGTGTGGTGCTTCTTGACCTGCAAATTGAAGCAACAAGAAATATAAGAACTTGGTTTCACAATCATATTCTTAGGGTGAGGACCAGTAGCTGTTGTTGTTTTTTTTTTTAATTGAACCATTATGATGCAACAGAAAAATCAAGTGGTCAAAAAATGCTCTTCTTGTTTAGAGATGATCCATTTGCCAAATAGCATAAAACCGTAAGATAATATTCGGCAACAATTGTCACGTTGCAAAACTAGCGAAATAGGAGATTAACAAGATATATGCCAATTAATAATTATCCGGTTTTAGTAATTGCAGTAGAAAAATCAGTTTTTCAAATTCCACGAGCTTCATAACAAATGACATAGATATCCAACTTCTCATGAAACGAAGCAGAAAAATCAGCCAAGTTCAACAAAGCTGGTTAGCATCTTCTACTTTCTTCGGACAAAGCAAACATATAAAAAAACTATGTCCGACTTTTCAAATAGGCAGCTGATACAAGATCTTGGGTTGCTTTTTGACCAGTAAAAATTATAGAGAAAAAATTAAGGCCAAAGTTCTGGGGTTCAAACAATTTGAGAAGAACTTCGTATTCACCAGGGGGGCAGAAAACAGAATACGCCATACCGTGTAATCCCAGCCATGTCTCTCAGCAAAAGCTACAGCAGCTTCTTGACTGTCGAAACTTAGTCCAGCATCACCAACATTTGCATATGGGTCTCCAGTGGAAGTCCAACCCATTAATGGATTTTCCCATCTGCATATCAACAACAGATATTATATGGTTACTGAATAAGCACGGTGATAAAGAAATCGGTGGTAAATTTTCATAATTCATTCGAATAACAACAACACTCTGGAAAGTAACCCCAGTTCCGTCTGACCCCTGCTCATCCGAAAAATTGCCAAAATAAAAATATATTACTCCCAATGTCTCTAATTGCTTCTTTTTTTAACATCACAGCAGTGAAGGAGTTCTAGAATTGCTGAACATCGAAAATAAACTAACCGCCCAATTCAGCTAAATGCGAGTGTTCGATTGCAACAGTTCAAAGCACCAAATTAAGTAAGAATATAAAGCCATATCAAAAGGCACAAAACAAAAGAAGAGAGGCATACTTTTGTGTTGAAATGAAGTTGATCTTCCACTTCCCCACCTTCCCGGATCCTTGCTGAGAAGCAGTTCGAGCAGGCGAGAAGATCTGAACCTGAACCACCAAATCCAATTGCGCCAGATAAATATTCAACATTCATTTCAAACTAATGGAATCTACGCTAGCTAACTCAACCAATCATTTCCCCACCACACTCTTAAGAGAAACAAATTCTCCCATAAAATGATATCAATAGATTAAGAAGGGGAACAAAAAACAACGATACCCTTCTGCGGAGGTGCTCTTGGGGGATACCGGAGACCATGCCGATCTCGCCGGATTTCACTTCCACCAATGAACCTTCGGTTGAATATGCTCTCGTAATTGGAGCCAACGCCGGCCGGTAAGCCTTGCCGGACCTGTTTGCCAGCCGTTGCAGATAGGTCGCCATCGCGCGATTGTCCGATCAACTGCAGAAAAGTGGATTCCCTTTAATTTTTAGGGATAGCGTAGCAGGGGAAAGAATTACAGAATGTTTTTGGGGCAAATGGGCAATTATCTAACTTTGCAGATTGTTATATAAATATAACAATAATATTGTAGGTAGTTGTCTCTAAAATTGAAAAGAATGTAGTGTTTTGCATACGGACTCAACATGAAAATCTAATTACTAGTTAATCCTAATAAAACATTTTCACTCCCTCAAAGAGTTACATTTTTTAAATTATTTACTCACTAATCCCACATTTAAGAAAGTTTGTTTAGTTAATTCTAATTAGTTAATGGCTAAATTAAAAATGTTTTTTTTTTAGTTAATCCCACATTTATGTTTCTTATTCTCATTTATATATATAAACGTGGCAATCATTATTGTTGTTGCAGAAACTATATATTATTATTTTTTATTCCATTATGAATTGAATAAACAATTAAAGTTATATAAAATATTAATAAATGTAATAAATACAAACATTATAATACAGATCATATTACATTACAATATAAAAAATGAAATTATTTTTTTTTTGTAATTTAATTTCCAGCCATACTCCATCAAACATATAGCTGCAAAAATGATAAGAAAGATTAGCTTCATAATTAAAATAAAAATTTAGCTCCCCCAAATGGTAAAACCTTATAAATTAGTAGTATAGATACATTTAAATGACATATAATTTATAAAGTTAGACTATACGCATAATAAGATGAATTAAAAAAAATTAATGAAGTAAATAAATAAATTAACAGTCTATATAATTATTATAGCAAAGTCTATATTGTCAATATTATCATTTAAAAAGTTCATTGAAAAAACCATATGTATAAAAAAAATCATATGATCATAATTAATAGTGAAAAATTAACTATTTTTGACTTTCCATTTTGTAGTAATAATAAAATATTTTATATTACTACTATTCAATAAAATGCATGATTTCTGCAGATTTGATTATCGCAATCAACATTCTGTTTTATAAATTAAAAAGTGTGCTGAATATTGTCTCATATTTTTCATTAAAAACAAAAAAAAACTGTTGGCCGTGAAAAAAAAAATTATTTCACAATTATAAATATAAATATAATTAATTTTCATTAAACAATTCTGCTTTAAGAAAAAAAAGTGGCGGGACAAATTTTTGCATGATTATAGCATCAAAACATATCCAAAACATCAATATTTAAGGCATTAAAACCATACTTCCAGCAACAGAAAAGGTCATATCAAACGGAAATTGGCAAAGTCAAAAAATGAGGATTGACAAGACATTGTATGTAACGGCAGATTGTTGTATAATAGAGAAATATCAAGCATAAATAATCAACAAAAAAATCAAATCTATATGAAAAAAATCAAAATTAAAAACACTAAAAATTATGTGGAACATTATTGGACACTATACAATATAAAAAGAAAAATAATTTGATTTCCCTATCATTATCAACACATTCAACTTTTACCAAGGCATCTGCCTTTATATTGAAATCGATTTTTTGCGTAAAAGTTTTAAAAATAAAATTTCTACATATTCTTTTAAACATTAAACAAGAAATTCCTAATATGCGATAAATATATGTAAACAGGTTTGTTATAAACTTACCTAATATTTTCAATTTTTGAACAAAATACTAAAAACTTTGAAAAACTTCGGCAAAATACTTTGAACAACTTCGAAAAGCGATTTTGAACAAGTGTTAGCAAAACTTCAATTACTGATATGATGAGAAAGACGAGAAAGAATTGAACTATTTAGTGTTCAAAATCTGAACAAAATACATAAAAGTTACATATGTATGTTATAAACATATATGAACATATATGTTATAAACTTACCTATACATTTGTTAGTAGAGCTAAACAGATCTGTTAGAAACTTACCTATTTTTCAAACCCTGAACAAAATACATAAAAGTTTGAAAATGTTCGACCAATGTCATGTTCTCTTCGAAAAACGATTTCGAAAAATATTTAGATAATTTCGAATTATGTATATAATATGGTATATCTTTGAAGCTTATTCAAAAAGAATTCCGAAAAACGACACAGATCATTGAAAATAATAAAAAATAAAAACTATGTTTAACAAAAAATATTTCAGCTCTTCATAGATTTGTAATATTATCGCATGATTTTGACCGACCTGTTAATATTTAGCAACACATATTAAGAAATCGGGACGAATATTTATTTTTCGATCACTACTGTTGGCCACAAAAACAACATTTCTCGGATTTATTTTTATTTTTTAATTTTAAGCCTTTACTGGGAGAAAACCTCCGGTAAAGCATTTATTTTGTATTGAATCTCGCCGAGTTTGTCTAAGATCGGGTTAAGGATTAGGGTTTCAGACAGAGTGAATAACGAAAGAAGCACCGACATCAAACAAAAAATTTGGCTTACATCACTCAAGGAGTTTATCTCTATTTATAATCATGTTATCATTGACCTGTTTTACATCATTCAATCAATATATTTTTTTATGGCCTAACAATTGTCATTTTGTTCAAATATCTTAAATATTTGGCACATATCTTTATTTATCAACCAAATAAAATTATTTATTTTGTAATATTTTGCTGGTATTTTTATAGTATATTTTTTTTTTTAAAATTTCCTATATGATCTAAAGTACAAAATACAATAATTATTTAAAAAAATAAAATCATTATATGTCTTAATTTGAAGATAGTGATTTGTAGTGATGGAGATTCTGTTGATAGAAAAACCACAAATGTTGTATATAAATAATTGTTTAACAATATTTAGTTATTCTTTTTTAAAACATTATTCCAATGATGATATTATGATTTTTACTATTGTTTATATCTTTTTATTATTTTTTGTTCTATTATAATATTTTCTGTGCAAATGCACGGGTTAAAAACTAGTATAACATAGTGGAGGGATTTAAGACCAAAAATCCACAATAAAATCGAGAAAATAACTTATAGGAGCACCAAAATTACACAAATAATATTTTATTGAACAAAATATGAAAATGAGATTACTAGAAATACGGAAATATATATAAGGACCTCAATGTAATATGATTCATTGTTTTGTGACCCGGTCCAGCCCGACAGGTCGATTCGAAGCCAAAACCGCTCCGGCTGAGCTATTTGGACCAGGTAACAATTGACTCGGTCAAAACTCTGTCAACCTGGCATTGACCCGATCGACACGGGTCATTGACCCAGTTGGGCCAACCGAGTTGTCCCGGTCTCTATAATTTTTTTTTTATATATTTTCTATATAAAATTAAATATTATGTTTATATAATAACATAGTAAATAGTTATTGTGAGATTTAATATTATTAACACTTAAATGTACAAATTTTGTATACAAATTATTTATGTTTGTTACTTTTATGTATATTTATATATCAAAATATTATATATATATAATTTTAAAAATTTTAAATTAATTATCCGATTTAGCAATTAACCCGATAATTCGGCGGTTGAACTAGTGACCCAGAAACCTGGGTCGGTTCGAATTTAAAAACTATGATATATGATTAAGAAGGTAGAATTTGGTAGAGTGGCTAATGTGATTCTTCCAGAACAGAAAAGATGAGAAATAATGAAAGCGGCGTGGTAATCAAGGTGAAATAGTGTCAACAAGAGCAAATTACTTCTTGATTTCTTCCTTTTTCATCTCTGATCACAGCGTCTTGGGCTTCCATCATCGTCTTCGCAGAGGGGCTCAGATTCATTGGTAGTTACCTTACAATTTTATCGTTTTTGCTTTTTTTTTTTTTTCATGGCGATGATTCTGCTTGTGGCTACTCACACTCTAAACCCTCTAAAACTCACAAAAGTGTATGCTTTATTGCTATTCTTACTTATTTTCCGTCTGTGATGTGCTTTTTACGGGTAAATGTTCTTTGGGATTTGATTTTGAGGCGTTGAAAGTATTGATGCTGTTGAATATGATAAAAATTACAGCAGAGCCTTCACCCGTGAAGTGCCTAAATTACCATTGAGCAATCTCTGTGTGACTCAATCTGTTCCTTCATTCTGAGAGCTTCTTGGGAGTCTAAAAGTTTTGAGTAATGGGATTATAGTTTTTCAACATTGACGTTTCGATTTACGTCTAAGAATGTATGTTTCGTCCAATCGAGACTTCAAAAAACCACTACCTTCTGAATTTTTCTAAATTATCTGTTTATTTTCTTGCCTCATCTTTAGTGTGTAGATGCATAGCCTGAATATAAGTTGTCTTATGCATAGATAGTTTGACATACATCCTATTCGTGGGTCGTATTCGGGAATTTCATGTTATTAAATTCATCAATGGCATTTTTCTCGTTGAAGTTATGCTTTATAAACTCAGATTATGGCCCTTACTGATCATTATTCCTACCTACTGTTGTACTTTTGGAGAATTTCCAAAATCGTAACTCAACATAGCCCTTGCCTCAAATTATTTGCAGCTTTTGCTGTGGACAATTGCCTATTTCTTGTCTATCCAAGTTTGATATGTAGATTTGACACGTGAAAGGTGTTTTACTATACTTAATAAGGTACAAAAAATCATCACCGTTTGGTTGTTTATAGCCTTATTTGTAGTGATGCGCAAGTCGTTAATGCTGATATATACAAATAATTTCAGGCGTTTAAACTTTAAACCTTTAGGTATCCCAGATCATCGATGATTTGGCTAATCAAATCAGCATTTTAGGTAGATTTAGAAGTTATAATAAAGATATACTGCATTTGTAGTCTTATAAATGGACGTGTCTATATTTTAGTCATCAAGGTCGAAGTTGATATCATCTGTTAGATAGTTCAATAAAAAAATTGTTTTCTTCAGTTTTCTCTTTGCAATTTTAGCAGTCAAAACAGCTGTGGTTGGTATCTACGTAGATTATATTGATCATTATCTCTTATTGTTTTCTGCATGTTTCCTGACGTAACATTAGTGCAAATCTCTCAGTAGGCCATTTTT